TTTTTTTTTTTTTTTTTTTTTTTTTTTTAAGTGCAAGTGTTGAGACTTTAGTAACAGGAGTTGAAAGATGAGAGACTTCTGTATAGATCTGGGGATTTTTCAAGATTTACTCCCTAACCAAGTCTTCCTTTTTCTTCCTTAAAGCAAGCATATATTTTAAAATAGTCAATGAAGAAGTGAAAAAGTATTTCATCAGACTCTGGGAAGTATTATCCACGGTGTTTTCCTTTAGAATATTAGCATAGTATTTCCTTGTAAGATTACAGTGTTCCAACTAGACTGCCTCCTCAAATTATGAATTTATTCCCCTTTGCCTGTGCCTATTTCATAGATTGATTAGCTTCTCAGAAAGACAAGAAAGTTGACAATAGGCAAGTCTGATTGCTACATTTTTTCTCAAGTAATATTTGTTGTGCATATTTTATAAGTGTGAAAAATGTTCATATTTTTAAGCATAAAAATGTATATGTCCCAATATGTCCCCATAAGCATAAAAATGTATATGTCCCAATATAGGTTCCTGATAGATGAGCTAGGTACAGAAACCCAGGTACAGAAACTCACCAGGGCAGGAAGCCCTGGGTGCCTAGCAAGGGGCAAACTGGGAAAACAACCACCTTATCCCCAGGGTAACTATTCTCTGCCAGCATATTGCTGGTTAAGCAGTTTAGACCCTTGGAGAGTTTCCTCCCTAAAGATAACATCTAGGTCTCAGTTGTATTTCAGCTCCAGGCTCAGAAAAGCAGCAAAACCAGACAAGTGGCGCCATGGCTGCCTCAGGACCAGATACATTGACTAATGACTCCCTGCCCTGGCACCGACCAATCAGTCGAGACCACGACTCTGAAAGAGCACACCTGGAAAGCTGATAAAGATTCTATTGCAACACTGACCTGAGACCTTCCCTAGGATTCCCACTTGCAAGAAAAAGATATATACGCTCAGGACAAAGAACCCAGTGAGCCCTCCCCGCCAAGGGAGTACACCAGTGCCATCTTCATCCCCTTCTTCCCTTTGAGGGGACCCCAGGAGACTTACAACTGAAGGAGCAATAGGGAGCTCCTCCGGGGGGGGCGTAGACCCTGACCCTCTCCAAGGCCCCCCTCTCTGACTTCTCAGTGAGCCACAGCAGCCCAGCCTAGGTGCTCCTGTTGCCTCTTCTATGCTCTTGTTTCACTGCCCCAAGTATACTTTTGCTGCAGTCATGGACCCAGTAACCTTTGACTCAGTGCTGTGTAGCCCTTCCCTTTAGATATCCCCATCCCCCACCCCCCTTTCCTTAAATAAATTCAATTTTTCTTTATCCACCATCTGAGATGGCTATTTAGCGTGCCCTGGCACCACCAACCTTAACCTTTCAGTTCCTATGCTCTTAATTTCTTCCCTGCAGATTTCCTTTAGCAAGTACTATCAGGCACACACAACCTACAGCTTTTTAATATGTAACCTCCTTAGGTGTGGATATTTTGTCTTCTACTACTTAGTACGTCTATTAGCACCATTTAGGCAAATGAAGCGGTTATTATAAAAATCCATGGTTTGGTGTGTTTTTTATGTATATATCAGTTATTCTAACATATCTTACTTGCTTCATCTATAGAAATGATGTACAAATGAAGACTGGATTTAGAAGGCACAAATCAGAGTCAATATGGATTGTTTTATTATTTTAATTTAATTTATTTTTATTATTTTTGGAAATATTACTACCTCAATTTCCTTTAAAAA